GTTTCCTAAATTAAAAATGCTCCAAGGGCGATAGCGGTGCCGCCTACCGGTAGAGTGCACACAAAAAAGACACAAATTAAATATGTGGCGGTTCTACACATCTCCTTAAGTCAGAGGAATACTTAGTGCTCAGTGAGCGATTATAGTTCCAACGATCTAGACTTTGTGAGTCAACAAGCGTAAAGCTCAATGTCCCTTTTCCAGAGGACCGAACGATTCAGTGAATCTACAGCGCTTAGTGCTCAGATTATAGACCTCAGAGAGGTGTTGCTAACTCTTAACAATCTATGTTTGCAGACGTCTCGCAAGGAACGTGTCTTCGACAAGATCAAAAGGAGAGCTGAACTTTAGTTACGTTTAACTCGATAGAAATTTTAGTCTCAATATGACCTAATCCAGGCACTCATGTTCTGAAGTAATATCTGTAAGATCTTTCCTATCTTGTAGCTGACACCCTTCTGCCCTTATAAATCGATACGACAATCGATGTCTTTTTCAGTGAATTACCATCCCGTGTGTCGAATACACAGAGTGCCGAGTACCCTATCATAAGTAACCTCTTTACACTATCGGTATGGAAGTCATAGCTACCGGTACATAAAAGGTGTGCGGATGGCAAAACGTGGGTATGTGGTTAATAAACATTGCCTGTATTAATTGTCTAGCTTTATTGATACTTGCATTAAGCTTTTATCCTGATGAATGTTTAGGCAATCTCTGAAGCTCGCTTTTCAATGTGTGTTATCCGGTGTATAGAACTGAATCAATTTAAAAAGTCTATGCAATAGCAGTTACTAAAAAAATGAGGGTGATGCTATTTATGTCTGTATTTCCCCAGTATAGTTGGCTAGCCATATAGCTATCGGTTCTTGCTTATGAGAGCCCAGCATTTGCTTATGTGATCGTATTCACCTCCGATCGATTTTAAGGTGATCAGGTGCATGTATCACAATAGTGACCTAGCCATAGAGTGACAACTATCATGCTAATCGACCTGTGAGAAAGGGATAGGCTTGATCGCACTTAGTCCATGTAAGTACAGTAGAACCAGTCTAAAATAATACAACCTGGATTTATAATAGCCTTAAGGTAATAATCATGTCCGTTCAAAGGTCGGGCCGATACAACAATTAATAAACCTCTTTAATTTAAATGTTAATTGCAATCCAAGGTTCCATTTTTAATTTTGTTCGTATTTTTTATATAAAAAAGTGTTGGCACTGTAATATAATGTTAAGCGTTAAGCACTACTTAAACACGCCCAAAGAAGTCTAGTATGTCAGGCTGAACCATTTCATTTGTGCGGAAAACCCCGACTTCGTCCTTCATTCGCTGTAATCACTCGATAAGAGTCTTCCCACCACCATCCTTTGCAGCCAGAACGCCTAAAGCAACTCAGTTGCCTTCTGAGCATCCACGACAGCTATGTTAGGCTATTTTGTTTCTCATTTTTCCCTTCCTCAGGCTGAGTCAGAAGGTGTTCTTCAATGATGTTATTCACGTCCGGATAATACAATTTAATCCGCTCAGCAGGATAATCGAGCAGGTTGCGGATGTCCATCGGCATGGAATACTTGAAGCGTCCAACTTTAGGCTCCACCCCTTTCATAACTTCATTGTCAAGGCAATGACCCTCGAAGACTGGTGGAGCATCAGCTGGTTCCGAACGGATGTTGCAGTGCCGGAAACAGTTGTGAATAGTCTCAGTGATGGCATCGTTATACCATGCTGAAACTGACATCTATATATCACAAAGAATGTTGTTCTCTGCCGGATGAACTACACCATTTTCGAGATCCTGAAGGCGCTTACGGATAAAGCTGCGCCAATAGTATATTTTGAGGTTTCGTATGATTCCCTGTTCACAAAGCTAGCGCTTTGATGTCATGTTGGGCGGAAGGTAGTGATTTGTCGTGTTTCGAAGTGTGATCCGCTAGGGCAGATCAGCAAGCGGGACGTGTGCGCTGCAGATTTCCAGTATCAGCAACACCTTGAGGATAAACATCCTTCGATCGAAGTCTCTAAGTCACTCCTAGAAGATGATTGTGTCATCGAGGCCTTCTTATTGCTGCAATAATGACAGCTAAGCTATTGGAGATTGACATGGCGGAAGCTACGAGGAGTGGCGTACTTGCCGATGATCCACAGGGAAATTTTATTGTACCCATCACCGTTGAAAAATACATTCACAGTAATTCGTATCTTGTTTTGCTTCCTCCCCTCCAGCTGCCGCGTTGTTAATAATTGTCAGCCTGAAACATAAGGGATGCGTTGATTAAATATCGAACAATAAGATTGAATGTCCTTTGCAGAGCAATTACACATTAGACAATAAGATTTAGTGTCCTTTGCAGAGCGCTTACCTGCATCCGATAGAACAAGCCAGTCTCATCCATATCGTAAATATTCTTCCATTTGTACTAATTGAGGACCCCACGTAAAGAAGGAAGTGCGTCCTCCTCCGCAACCATGTCCACCGATCCGCTCTCTCCAATGAGCACATTCCGTTGTGAGCTTAGAAGGTTTTCTGCCATCCATTTGAAAACAGAAAATGCTTATTTCCTGGATAGAGATGACCTTAAATCCGCTCGGCATCTTCACAGACAAATTCTCCGCTGAGATTGATGCAATCCTGGTCGGCAGTGATCCAACTAGTGTGGTGAAGCGAGCATGTAAAAATGATGGACTTAAAGGTCGACGAGCCGTACCGACATGGGACCTCGCAGCCGAGAAATGGACCGGAGACTTGATGGTTACAGGTAAGGAGCGGCCGTTGGTTCCAACCGTGACGAGAGGTTAAGGTCACTACCAACGGGTCAAACCGACTAACATTATTATTCAAATGGTACCAATATGGATCGTTCTCAGCCACTCTTCGATCGGCCCTGGTCGCCCAAGGTGGACCTCGATTCCCGTTAGGTCACCTGGCCACCCATCGGCCGACCTGGTCACCCATGGGTCGACTTCGTCTCTTAAGGTCTGGTGGATCCTGACTACTTATCATAGCGTACCCGGGTGCAAGGCAAGGATAAAGTGAAGGAGTTTAAAGGATTGGACATTATTAAATACTACTCAATTTGCGATCTAAGTAGCACGACGTGTCGTGCTCTAAGAAACTTGTAAGTCTACCGACCTGCTCCGGGCCAGGGATCTGTTTGGCTCACCCGTCGAATAGACAGTTGTCAGTAAGACACAAGCGTAAGTAGAACCCCAGGAAGTACAATTGGCCTGTGGGTTCGTAGATTAGCACCCCCAAACTCAAGCCCGCTATAGGAAGCGGCCTCCATACCCTAGTGGTAAGGGAGAAGATACATAAAGGATAGGCGGTTAACACCCCTGAGATAAGTAAAGGCCAGGTGCCACCAGCACGTGAGACAACTGGTTATAAGACCAGTATCGACCAAGTCAATCGAGGGGCCGCCTACAGTGGACCCCGAATGAAGCATATCCGCTCGCCCCCCCAGGTCGACCTCCATCAAGGCTGACGTCTACATCATCACCAAGTCCTCCGAAGAGTGAAATTCGCCAATCCGGCGGGTACACAAGGTAAGTCAAGGTCCACAAGCTGCATCGGGGTACCCTCTCTGACAGTTGGCAGCCCGGCACAGTGAGTGGTTTGGGGTCTCGTCAAACATTTTTGACAACCCACTCCACCACACTAGCAGAGCTGATTCCATCAGCGGATACTTGACTGAACGCTGACGTTTAGGACTTATGTTGCTTTCCTCTGGAACCCAAAAGGCCGTAGTTTCTCTTAAGCGTGTCGGAGACTGTTGCCTGGCTGACCCTTAGATGAAAGTTGTACTGTAGCCAGTTGTCAAGCTGAGCCTGAGTCAGTGCCGGATTCTTGGCATGATGTTTGCAGAGAGACACACGGACATCGTCCGTCATTTTGGTGTGGCGTGCTCTTTTTAAGGCATTGTTGACGTGATCCAGAGTTGTTCCAGGGGAATTGGGAGGAAGGCCTGAATACTTAGGCTGAGCACTGGAATGTAAAGTGCGAAGTGAATATATTAAGGTCCTTTGTACACAAACTCCTGCTGTTACTACAAGCATGCTGTATCCTTTCAGCCTATATGTTATTAATCGCCACATTGCGCATTACTGATCGTCTAGTCGCGCATTACTTATTCGTCAAGTCGTACGTATCTGATTTTGGTCGTGAGTTTCACAACACCTAAACGTATCTAAAGTGGGGGACGTCACTCCCTGGCAGGAGAGTGCTGGTGAACCGCGAACGCCAAGCCCGAAGGTTTAATTTTCTCGTCTATTTTCCTTATCGGTATCGAGCCAGTGACCTTAAAGTTGGCACTGCCATACCAAACCGGCTTAGCTACAACACATTTTTATAAAACAACAGACCCGACTTTCATTTAAACAGCCCTCTAAAAACGAGAAATAATATAATAATTTGGAGGAGTTGTAACGGGGCACCCTGAAGCTTGTACTGGTGACAGTACAAGCTACTTATTCTGATAACAGAATAAGGCGGTGCCTCGTAACTTCACGTACACTCGTACGTGCAGAGGAAGACGGTAAGAAGAAGCGAGTACTCGGTTAGAGTAAAAAGTAGAACTGTATTTATAATAGTTAATGTCTGCAATAAATCACTATTTATCTTCATCTAACTATGTCTAAATACAAATGTGTAAATCAGTTATCTGCTCACCACTCATTGCGTGCGTCTGTCGTGGCGCGTCTTCGTTGGTTGATATAATGGCCTATATCAACCAATTAGGAACTACTTGGAAGTGCTACAGAATATTGTCCTTATGACAATATTCTGAGAATATAACTCTTATAGTTATATTCTATTAACAATTTCTTATAAATTGTTATGTAACGATTCACCCCGTTACATCACCCCCCTTAACCATCAGTCACTTTAGTGACTGATTGACTAAATGGATACTCGTCCCAAATCATTTGGGACGGGGTTTGCACTTGTTGGTCCGCGTCCACTTTCCAACATCTCATCGCATGGTAAACAAGCCCATGCGATGCGCGAGCAAGAGCCGCCGAGAGCGCGTCTGCACGTCTCTGTGCGGACGCCGAAGCAGAAACTACAGCAACTGATATCCCATCGGTTGCTGAATCGACTCAGCCTGTATCACCTGGTGATGCAGGCGCTGGTCATGAAGACACTCGTGTCTTCACAGAGTACGAGCTCGGTGTCTCGTACTCTCCTGATACGGATGACGGATCCGTATCGACGGCAATTGAATCCAAGCCGCCTGCCAAGCGTGACATGGACGATGCTTTGCGTCGCAGCATCTTTGGTTCATCTGATGAGTCAGATGAACCATCGCCGAAGCGAAGGCGCTCGAGGTCGCGAGACTCGGGCGCTAATAGTGGTGTCGTTTCTCCAATGGACACCACTTCACAGCGAGGTGCCAGTACTTCTGTCGGCACGTCGCAGGAAGAGCGGGACCGCAATGTGTTGCGTCTCGCTCCAGAAAAGAAGGCATGGATGCCTCCTAAATCTGTCATGGATCACTTGTCGGCGACGACGAGTGATCGTTATCGAACACGATTGTTCGATTCGTCAAGGATCCATCACCTTGACCCCAGCGCGAAAGACTATCGCGCTGAACATGAGTTCTTCATCGATGCTTTCTTCAGACATCGATGGTACAGTGGGAATCACAAACGTGATGGTCCCTCACTACTTCAGGCGTGGAACGCCTACATCCATAATCTCGAGGATGTAGGTCGTGACGCTTGGAACGACAAACTTATCAAAGCTCGTGATAAGTTTGAAAAGCGAACCCCGACAGGTGCACGCTATAAGCTGCATCGTCTGTCAAGGGAGAAAGGATTACCCTGCCTCTCTTGGGGAGACTCGTGCCCATGTTGTGTGAACAACTCTGCACGAGCACCTAAGGAGGCTTACCTCCTTACCAGCCCGTGGTGGCGCGTACGTGTCTCTACTGAGATGTACGAAGGGATTGACAACCTGAAATCCCTTTACGACCGTGCCGGGAAGACTTTCTCCGGCGGTCCTTCTGCGGCACAGGATGTGTCGCGTCGTACTGCTCGACCAGACCCAGTACGTCAACCATCAATTGGGAGCGGGGCTCCCAAGAATCCCAGGACGGGGGATAGCCGCGCCACCGGACGAGGTAACTCGTCCGACGTCCGTTCACGTCGCGGTGGTTCAACAGCTGCTCTACTAGATAGCGCTGGCCACCGCGAGAGTCCTCTAATGGAGGTGGAGGAGGAGGAAAGACGCTCTCCACACGATCATGTGGATCGGTGTGTTCCCGAGAGCTTTTTGATCGCGTAACGCAAGGGTTACGCGACGATCTCGAGCATGAGCGGAATAGGCGTCTCCAGATGGTGGACACTGCCTCGAAGCATCGAGCTGAGTTTGCCTTTGCTCAGCTTGAGAACGAGAGATCTCTGACATCTCTTCGTGACGAGCTAAGGGTAGCTCGTGGGATTGTTGATCGGTCTCGGGCTGAGATAACTGCTCTTCAGACCCTTGTTGATGCCCACCATCGGGAGCACAAGGCTCTCTGCGAGATGCTTGAGCGCAAGGGCGTTCTTCATCGGAAGAAGCAGCGTACTGATGGTACGGCTTAAGCCGACCAACGTAAAACGTGGGATGCGTTCGCATCTTACGTGGTAACTCGATCGTGTATGCATTGCCTAGGCGGTGCAATACACGAAATGGGCCAATGTACTTGGGTAGTAGTTTACTGCTACCCAAGTTAGTCACTACATGTTTTGGTAGATTAACCGTAGACAGTAGGACTAAGTCACCTTTATTAAATAAAAGAGTGTTTGCCCTTCCATTCTTGTCAGCGTTTTGCTTTTGCTTATCCACCGCTTCGGCGATGGAGTCTTGCACAAAACGGACTACCGTTTCACGAGCCAGTATGAACTCATCTGATGACTCGTTAGCTTCAGTGTGCTGTGAGCGCACTGCAGCGACAACAACCTTTTCTTCAGTGAGGGCTTCCGCACTCTCACTGGGATCATTGTCTTCAGTGAGGGCTTCCGCACTCTCACTGGCATCATCTTCTTCGATATCGATGTTATCGATATCGGCATCAAACGCAATGACTTCTTCGTCAGAGCGTGATGAGCGTGAACCAATTCGGTTTTTGCTCGCGCGAGTCCCTCCCCCCTTAAACCAGAGTTACACTCTAGTAAGGTGGGTACACGCGGATGGCGCAAGCCATTCACGTAAAACGGTGTATGTGTCGTGGACGCATGCACCGAGTTGTTGATGGCAAACTCTACCATCGGCAAAAACTCACTCCAACTCTTAAAGGAGTGTACGTATCCTCGAAGTATCTCTTCAAGGACACGATTGGCACGTTCCGTCTGACCATCTGACTCTGGATGATCAGATGTTGACATCTTCAAGCGCGTTCCGAGTGATTTGAACACGGAACGCCAGAAATCAGCAGTGAATCGTGGATCTCTGTCTGATACGAGTTCACGGGGCAACCCATGAAGTCGGAAGATGGTGTCAATAAAGACACAAGCACAGCCACTTGCCGTGTACCATTTTGCTGAATCTGTCAACAAATACGAGAATACCCGTATTCCCGCGTGCGTCTTTGGGTAACCCGAAGACGAAATCCATTGAGATGGATTCCCAGCACTCAGCCGGAACCGGTAGAGGCTGTAAAGGTGCACGCAGTGAAGGACTTGACTTCACTCGTTGGCAGACTTCGCATGCGCGAACATACTTTCGCACAAACTGATACTGGCGGGGCCAGTAAAAGTCTCGACTTACCGTGAGATATGTTTTCTCTCGGCCACGATGTCCTCCTATAGGAGCATCGTGATACTCGAACATGATCCGCAAACGCAGATCAATATCATCTGGAATGACAACACGTGGTGTGTCACCAGAAACGGCTGTATAGTACAGTAAACCGTTACGAGTAGTGTATCGATCTGATGCAGATCGATACGCAGACGACAATCGTTTCAACGATTCTCGAGATGGTTGGGAGAGATGTGACAACAACTTCACTATCTCACCATCTTGGGCGTATGCCCGCCTCACATCATCATACAACGTTGTAGATGGAACTGAGGACGTCATAACCGCAACAGTGACTGTCTCACTGTTGGGTTTCGCGACTGTTTCAAAGTCGGGACGACGTGAGAGTGCATCAGCGACGACATTAAGTCGTCCTGGTTTGTACTCGACCGTAAAGTTGTATTCTGCAAAGAATGACAACCACCGCGCCATTCGTTGTGAAAGGTGCGGGCTGTTCACTGCCGTGCGTAAGGACGCATGGTCAGTGTAAACAACGAAGGGTCTATCTCCTAATAGATAGACTCTGAACTTCGCTAGTGCATACTTCATGGCAAGGAGTTCCTTGTCATGCACTGGATAGTTCCGCTCAGCTGGTTGCAGCTGACGCGACTGATAGCAGACGACGCGTTCAACGCCTTCAAGGTCGTACTGCATTAATGCACAGCCGATTGCGAAATCGCTGGCATCACAGACCACATGAAATGGCCTGTCCTGATCGGCTATTGCTAGGACTGGGGATTGTATCAAGCTCTGCTTGATACCCTCAAAGGAGCGTTGACATTCAGCGTTCCATAACCACCTCTCGTTCTTTTTCAACAAACGAGAGAGGTGTACAGTCATCTCGGCGTAATTGCGTGAATACTTATGCAAATACGCCGCTAGCCCAAGGAATTTTCGAAGACCTTTGACATCGACCGGCACGGGCCAGTCGGTGATCGCCTTGATCTTTTCGGGATCAGGACGTACACCGTTCTTACCAACGATGCACCCAAGAAGTGGTATTTCGCTTGCTGCAAATATACACTTCTTGAGGTTTGCATACAAATTGATGCTTTCGCATGATTGTAAGAACTTGTCGGACGTGGTACTTGTGAACTCAACGTCCGACTTTCCATCCATAGCTCGACTATGGATGAATACGTCATCGAAATAACTCGGCGCGAATTCTCGTACTGGCCTCAACAGATGTGATACACACCTGTTGAACGTGGCAGGGGCATTACTGAGCCCTTGTGGCATTACTAGCCATTCCCAGAGCATGCCGCTAGGCGTGCTAACTGCGGTATAGGGTATATCCTGTTCCGCATTAGGATTTGATAGAAGCCATCCATCAAATCCATGGACGAAAAGATGGTACTCTTTGACATACCATCAATGATTACGTCCTTCCTCGGTATCGGCGTCTGAGCCGGTACCGTTGCAGCGTTCAATTTGTTAAACGCGTGCACTATCCGCCACCCTCCTGTTGCTTTTCGCACACAGAAGGTCGGAGAGCTATGTGGGGAAGTTGATTCCCTCACATGGCCTGCTGCTAAACGATCGGCAAAGAACTTGTCGATCGCAAGTACTTGTTCACGAGGCAGTGGCCACTGCTTCATGACACAGTACTTCGAGCCTGGTTTAAGCTCGACTTCGTGTCGAATACCTTTATCCTTCGGTAATTCGCACGGAACAGTTTCAGGGAATACATCCTTGAATTCAACCAAATCCTCATAGAGAGGGTTTTCCTTGAGCGATTCCCATGATTGGGACTCATATCGCTCAATTCGTGTCTTTTCATCTAGGACACTCTCGTCCATAGATGAACTACTGAGAACTCTCTCGTTCTCAGTAAACACTGTTGCTGACCTTATGTCGGTTACATACTCGTCGTCAGCGACGAGTATGCAGATCTGCTTGACTTTGCCACTACGCAGATCACGCAAGAACCTTTTATGTTCGAGCGTTGGCAACTGAGTGATCTCCGAAGTTAACTTCGGAGGCGCAATCAGATCAAGTGTATAAGCGCCTACACTCGATCCGTCATTGACTATGACATTCAATGTCTCTGTCATTTCCTGGGGACTTATTCCCTCAGGCTTCGAAGGACTTATTCCTTCGTCTTCCCGGGGACTTATTCCCGCGGGTTTCGGGGAACTTATTTCCGCCGTATTTGTAATCTTGGGACTTATTCCCTTTACTTCCTCTAGCTGGGGTTGCGCAACCACAGCGAGATCCTCTACGAAAGACTCTCCAGTCGATCTAGGATTATCGTTTCGCTTAACCTGAGCGATCGATTGTTTCTCTTCTAGATGTTCCCCTCTAGGGATACATCTTTGTCCCAGTCCACCCGACTTATTCGAGTGGTGGACCTTCGGCGCAGCCTGTGTTTCCTCACAGCCGCCGGAACTTTGCTCCGAAGTGTAACCGTTTGGTACACTAAGGTTTTGTGCAGTCGTACTAACGACCGTACCACAAGTGAGGCCATCGCACTCACTCGTAGTACATCCACACGCTTGTGGACGCTCCAAAACGTTCATCAGATGGCCATCTGATGAACAAGCGGCAGGCATCGTTACTGTCCGATGTTGCCAGTTTACCCGTGGTTCGTACCTTCTGAGCCACGGTATTCCAAGGATGACATCAAATTTGTCATCCAAATCCAATACGATAAAGTCATCGTCATATTGGGTATCTTCTAGCGTATAGTGAATCTTCACTATACGCTTCATGACGGTTACGGATGCGCCTGTCGCAAGACGTACCGTCATCCTCGTAGGGGGTGTGTCACATTCACTGAATTTAAAGTGACCATCTTCTAGCGATTGGCGTCGCACAAAATTGTTGGACGCCCCACAATCGACTAGAGCTCGAAGGGACAACTTATTCGTCACTTCGAGTTTCAAGGTAATGAGTGAGACCTCATTACCTAGAGCAGCAACGCACAATGTCTGTGTGTTGGGAGCAACCTTCATCAAGAGGCCTACAAATTCTCTTGACGTTGCTGGATCAGTAGGGTGCTCCGCACCTACTGATCCTGTCCGTTTTTTGACGGTCCATCCCGTTGCTGCGTCTTTGCACCAACTGCGGACCCTCGTCCCTGCCCCTTTCTCATGGGTGGACGGTCACTACGCCCAGTGTCGCGAGACACTGGACGAGGGGCACTACACTCGTAAGCGTAGTGTCCTGTCTTCTGACATCTGTTGCATCTCTGCAACTTCTTGTAGCCTGTAGAGCGAACCTTCTCGCTCTCTACATAACAGAGTTCCATCGGCTCTGGACCTCCGTTGTCATATCGTCTCGGTTGACGATATGATGTCGAGCTGGCGCGAGCCTGTCTCAGACTGAAGTCTTCCTGCTCCGCAATGGAAATGGCTTGTTCTAGTGAATCTAGTTCAAGCCGGAACAGGTGAGTCTTGACGGGACCATCCGCAAGACCCTGCATGAACACCGAAACCAACGTGTGTTCATCCACTGGATTGGAACTTATACAACTCGTAAGATGTCGTATATGTTGAGCGTAAGCGTGCACATCACGCTTACCCTGCTTGAGCTTCAAGAGTTCGGTTCGAGCCCTGAACTCAGCTCTAGGCGGTTCAAACGTTTGTCTGAGCCGCGACTTGAAGACTTCCAACGACCCAAACGCGTATGGGTCGTGCAGCTTGAGCCCCAGTGCCCAAGTCTTGGCACGTCCTGCCAGATTTGACTGGGCAAATGCAACTTGCATATCCCCGTCGTCGATGCGACGCGCCCTTATGGCGTCATCCAATTCGACGAACCATCTCAAGAGGGAGTCTTCTTCGACCCCTCTATACTTTGAGATGTCAATCTTCAAAGTCTCGGGCCGACGCGAGTGCATCGACCCGCCAGCAGCAGCCTGCTGCTGTCTCAACAGTTCAAACTGTTGAGCACCTTGTTCTCTCAACAACTCTGCTTGTTGAGAACCTTGTTGGTGAAGCAAGGCTACTTTCTCGCGTTCAGCGTCAAGTTCATTTTGGATGAACTTGGCGATAGTAGCATGTTGGGCGTCTCTATTGAGAGCCTCTAGCATGACGCTAACAGCATGGATGCCCATGGTCGAACCCATTCGTTCAACCGCATCCCATTCGACATCGCTCAAATGGGAGTAGCCGTCACGCGTAGCGTGAAAGCTTTGGTCATCTTCATCATCCAACATATTCATGTTGGATGTGAACGCGGTCCTTGGACGGACTACGAAGTGCTACCAGGTGTAACGGGGCACCCTGAAGCTTGTACTGGTGACAGTACAAGCTACTTATTCTGATAACAGAATAAGGCGGTGCCTCGTAACTTCACGTACACTCGTACGTGCAGAGGAAGACGGTAAGAAGAAGCGAGTACTCGGTTAGAGTAAAAGTAGAACTGTATTTATAATAGTTAATGTCTGCAATAAATCACTATTTATCTTCATCTAACTATGTCTAAATACAAATGTGTAAATCAGTTATCTGCTCACCACTCATTGCGTGCGTCTGTCGTGGCGCGTCTTCGTTGGTTGATATAATGGCCTATATCAACCAATTAGGAACTACTTGGAAGTGCTACAGAATATTGTCCTTATGACAATATTCTGAGAATATAACTCTTATAGTTATATTCTATTAACAATTTCTTATAAATTGTTATGTAACGATTCACCCCGTTACAGGAGTGCTACAACATATTCTTAATTAATACCTTTCTAAAGTTATAAGGAAAGGAGGTCCCAGCATTATCGATTTAGACAGGTTCTACTGCACACGCGACCGCGTGATCTACAGACACCCGCACAGACAGATAAGTACGAAATAAAAGCTCGGCATTCAACCTTGCGCACACTCGCAAATAGCCTCCAGGCTCGAAAGAAGTCCGGTGAGATATCAGGCAAAAGACTATGCATGGGCGTAGGTGGGCTATGCCTACCTATGCGTGGGTGTGGTAAGCGCCAATTTGGAACTGCTAGGATGTGACACACGTTTCCGTTGATATGCATCGATAAGTCGACGCATTTTGGACCAGTCCGTAGAAATAGTATCGAATCCGTCAATCGTCTTTTGCTCGTGCATGCCGACGATGCATTGCCGGGAGCTGCTATAGTCACTCACAACCTCTTCTTTTGATCCCCCACGTCGCGTTCGCTCTTCAATTCCCCCCCCCCCACAACTAGTCGGTCGAACCTTTCGTTGCCGTCTTTGTACCAGACTTCGTGACGTGTCGTCGACCAATTGTCAGTCGCACTCTCTGCACGTCTTGTCAGTACGAAACGCCTCACTCGGACTTTAACGCTTCGTAGGAAAAAAACGGACCCTACAATCTGCTGCTGGCATCGCCACAGACCGAGGCATTTCGCGTTGTGCTATAGCCAGCCACGCTTTTTTTCTCTCGATCGGACAACGAGCTCGTCTCGGTCGAAAGGTCGCGTAGCTGTCGTACACTTTGTTCGCTCCAAGCAGCTCGACATGACAAGTGACGAGTTAACGGAGCAGCCGTCCTGGACGGTCGTGCCGTGTGTGAACCACGGAGACGCGCCGCCCATTGACGCTGGGCACGCCTGTGTTTTGTACAAAGACTCGCTCTACGTCTTTGGCGGTCGGACTTGCAAAGAGAGAGGTAGAGCAGTAGCAGCGCAGTCGTTCGTCTCCCTTCTCTTTCTCTCTCTCTCTCTCCCTCTCTCTTGACATGATTAAGGGGGTGTTGAAATGACGCACATGACCGTGTATGGTATGGCCTGGTGCTATTTATTGTTCGCTTGACAACAGACCGCTCTCTTCCTGCAGTATCAACGCGCAGCAGCTACTTGGTCCGTCCAGCGACCAACTTTTACGAATTCAATTTCGCCCAAAAGGAGTGGTCTACAGTCCTCACCAATGGCGTCGTTCCTAGTCAGCGCAAGTATCATTCTGCCGTGGTGCACAAGGACTTGCTCTACGTCTTTGGAGGACACGATGGCGACAGACGCTTGAATGACTTTTTCTCCTACAATTTTCGTGAGTCGCAGCTATGCAGGGACCTCCATGAGTGGTGTTTTTTTGAGACTCAAGGCTGAACTGTTTGTCATGGACTGGCTGTGATACGACAGTGACGCAAACATGGACCAATGTGTTCGTTAATGCGGGACAACAGCCCACGTCGAGATATGGTCACGCTGCAGTAGTGTACAGTAAGCATTGCTGGCCTTTGGGTTGTGGATCGTGCTGGTGCACACGTCTAATTTTAATCGTTTCCGATGTTCTAGACAACGCCATGTACATTTTCGGGGGAAGTGATCGACATTATGACCGCGAGTCCCTGTCGAGCCGCAACTCTTCTGAACATGGCAGGTTGGACGCCGGTCGCTACGTCAACGACATGCACTCCTTCAACTTGGGTACGTGCTAAGTTTCGTGGCGGATGCAACCGACATCTTGCTTTTTTCTTACTCTTTTGTATGCTAGAAACCAATTCATGGTCATTGATTTGCGCCACTGGAGAAGTGCCGTTCCCTCGGTACGACGGACGGTCGCAAGTGCGTTGATTGTCGTTGTCGAAATGTGCTTATGTTTTCGAAATTGCTCGCTGGCTCTGCACTAGTGAGGGTGCCTCCATGGTCGTGTACGAACAAAACTGCCTGTTGTTTGGCGGCTATGATCACGATCTGGGCTATTTCGATGATGTTTGCGTATTTAACTTTGGTAAGCAACAACATGTTTCGTCTGAGATGGATGATGTGTACACAAGTATTTACCAGCATTCATACTTCTTAGAGACTCGCGTTTGGTCAAGCCTGGAGACAAAAGGAACGGCACCAAGCGGCTGCAATCGCTTTCTGGCAGCTTCACACAATCAATCTCTATTTGTATTCGGTGGAAAGATAAACCCCAGCCTGTGCGAGCTTGATCTAGGTACGTTGTACGCTGTGATTGGGCATTGTTGAAAATCTAGCTGAATTGACACGCTCGCTTGTAGAAACAAACACTTGGGCAACTGTTGCATGCACCGGAGCAGCTCCGAGGAGCAAAACGTTTTCTGGATGTGTGTATGATGCCAACTTGATCGTTTTGAGTGGACACGATGACGTGATCAGCCTCGAGCAGATCAGGTTGCCTGAGAAGAAAGCCGGAGCGCAAAGCCACGATAACATGGAGCCCGTGGAAGATGGCACTGTGATTGCTCACTTGCGCTCCCTTGTCAACAATCAACTCATGAGCGATGTGACTTTTACTGGTACTGGTCGGCTGTTTAGCTTTCATCATGTAAGAGCGCATGGGGAATTCACACGACCTATGTATTTATCTCTTTCTATGCCTTTTTGGGTGACCTTAGTTGAAGGAAGCCCCATCTATAGCCACAAGAGTCTTTGCGTGCGCTGCAGCTACTTCAAGGCTATGTTTACTGGAGAGGTACGGGCTCCGAGGTTTCGTGCAATAATTTGTGTTGGAGAGATCTTGATGAGCTAGTGTCTGTACTAGATGTTGGAGAGCACCGCTCGTGAAGTGACGATCTCCGACGTTAGTCGAGCAACGTTTCTTTCCCTACTAGAATACGTGTACACCGATCGACTCGTTCTCGCGGATGGAGACGTTCAAGAGCTGTTCGTTGCCGCAGATCGCGTAGGTTCACACTACATATTGCCGACGCATCCGGTGAGGTTGACTGACGTAATCTTGTTCTGTTAAGCAGTACGGTATCGAAAGCCTGAAGCGGCTCTGCGCTCAGACACTCGTGAAGTCTGTAACTATCGACAACGTCGCGAGCATTCTTCAGGCAGCTGATCAGCACAACTCGCCTTCACTGCGAGAAGAGTGTTTCGCTTTCACACTTCGGAATTTCGACTCCGTTTCGAAAACACCGTCGTTCCAGAGTATGGCTAGGACTAACATCGAGTTGGCCTTGCAGATTCTGCAGCGGCGCTAAGCTCCAATACAACATCACCGGTGGACATACACCTCTTCGCATCAGATTGCGCTTAGGCGTACACCCAAATGCAGCTCACACCGGCGATTATCCTGGCGGTTCATCGCCTTGTACACCGCGTAGCCTGAGAAGTCTATGCCGCAAAATAGCCAGCAGGATCGGTTCGAGTCAAACCTATCGAGCGGATGGAAAAGCTAGGGCTCGCACTAGAGCACATCAACGTCGAAAACGCTTTGGGATCGCCGATGCGTGCGACTTGACGGATCGCCTGGCGGACCCGTTGCTGAATGGATGTAGTAACTCGCTATTGACTGCACCTGTGGAGCATGGATTCACCGGTATAGTTATGATTGCTCTCTTGCGTCTTGTGCGCAACAAATATGGCTAACCGCTTTTCCATATCCTCGTGAGCCGATGGAGAGCAGCTGAACCAACAATTCGCAATGCAAACTGGAGCTGGTACATCGTTTCAGTCACCGTTTCCTTCCCATCGTTGTGGCGACCCGAGTACTTGTGATCTCGACCAGGTTGGAACAGATCCGAGCGCACACAAGAATCGGTGAAGAGTCCCGTCATCGCCTTCATTGCCATATGACGGCCCGCACAGATGCGAGATCCTGCCCCAAATGACAGGTCAACACCAGCAGCAAATGCATCACCCGCCATCTCATCCAGCGGAATGAGAGCATGGGTATTCGGGGCAATACCCAACTCAAAGTCGCCATTGGGGAAGTAACGCTCGACAACAGGGAACGGGTGTGCATTGCAAATGCACTGCCGAATAACCTCGGGTGAAATCGACTCTGTCACAGGAGCAGCTTTCGTCCACTCCTTGATTTTTACCGCAACGTCCGTCAGGTTAATCGCCGGCGAGATCACGAATGGCTGAAGAATGAGCGAGTAGTACTCGGGCTGTGCCCATTTCTCACCAAACAGATCGTACAGCCTTGGCGTTCGCCGAATCTCGTCCACAAACCATCGGATCATTTGTTGTTTCGCCTGATGGTTTGCAAACCCTTTCAGCGCTAGCTGCTTCCGCCACTCCCAAGTGGCTTGACATGCCTCTACGACCTCTTCATGCTCGCCTTCCCGTTCAAACACCCACTCGTAAAAACTTGCAACCGAGAGCTCGGTTAGCCTTCGCGCATCGATGACCATCCCAGATTCCAGTAGGTCTCGACTTCGTGACTCGAAAATCGTCGTCAGCTTTGACATCGACGGCAGCACTTTTGTTACCTTCATGAACCGAGCCCTCATCCGTTGCCACTGTGCGCCGTTAACCGATTCAAGGGACACGATGGGACTCCAGGCTGGTAACGAGAGCAAAGTCTCAATCAAGTCGCCCTTGTCTCCACTTGCCTTTAATACTTGAAAAGCCACGTCCGGGTCAACCACCCATTGGAGGTGAACCCCTTGACAAAAGGCCACGAGGTGGAGCAACCAAGCGCGCACCATGTGGGATCGAATCCCAATTGTCACGGACATGATAAGGTACGCAGTCGCAACTGCAATAACAGGCAGCACATACACTAACAAGAAGACGGTCATGGCAGTTAAGTGTGTTTTTTCCCCGAGTTTATTATTGGTGAGACTTTGGTGGTCGTACACTTTGGCCCGTCTAGGGCCATTTAGCTCGCTTTCGTCGACCAAAAGGTCACGTACATTCTAAAAATAACTATCTCTCGTCACCACCCAATCCACGGACCATCATCGAAACATACGAACCGTCTCAGGTAGACACGCGACTTCGACGATGACGGACTTGCAGCATCCCGCTCCGACGCCGGACGTCGCTTCCAGCTGCGTAAACAGTGCAGTGTCCATTGTCAGTGACTTGTCTTGCTCTCCTGAGATTTCCAGCGATCGGACGTCTCTGCAGCCCATGCCAACAACCGATATCGAGTCCATCCAAGTGCCGAAATCTGTTCCGTCGGGTGATGTGAATGATCCTGCTACGTACAAGCGCAGTCAGGACCCAAATTGGAAGAACGAGGGACTGGACGATATCTACGCAACATGGGACAAGCTCGTACCTGTGGACGAGCTGCCTAAATTTGAAGAAATGGGTCGTTTCTTAGTGGAGCTGGACCCCCAAACAGCTCGTGAACTTGAGAAGGCTTTTGTGCTGCTCCGACGCAAGTTCAAGTGCTTGCCAAAGAAGTCCCAGATGAAGTTTGTGCTGGGACTATTGGTGCAAAAGGGTGCTGCGCCGAGTGGTCTGGCACTGGAGAAGTTGCTGATCAAGAAGGCTCAGAAGAGTCAGTCTGGCGTGCTAGTCGTGACGGTACTCACGAGCCCATACCCGGAAGTAGGTGGCAAGAAACAGCGCTTTAGCTGTCAGTGGAACTGCTACTACTGTCCAAATGAACCGGATCAGCCCAGAAGCTACTTGCACGACGAACCAAGTGTGTTGCGTGCGAATCGGAACGACTTTGACCCCGTGCTGCAGTTTTGTGATCGCTGTGTGACGTTAGCAATGAATGGTCATCCTGTTGATAAGATCGAGTTGTTGGTGCTTGGAGGAACGTGGGCGTCGTATCCGGTAGGATATCAAGAAACCTTCATTCGCGATTTGTTCTATGCAGCGAATACATTCTTTGAGAGAGCAAAGCGTGAACGACACAGTCTGGATGAAGAGAAGCTCGAGAACGAAACAGCTGCAGTGAAGATTATCGGCATCACATTGGAGACGCGACCAGATTGTATCAACGCGGAGGAGCTGCGTCGATTTCGTCGGTACGGCTGCACTCGTGTCCAGTTGGGCATCCAGCATACGGATGATGCCATCTTGAAGAAGATCAATCGTGGATGCACCACTGCTGATGCGGTGCGTGCGCTGAAGCTGCTGCGTGACTGTTGCTACAAGACCGACATCCACTTGATGCCGAACTTGCCTGGAAGCGACCCAGAAAAGGATCGAGCCATGTTTGACTACGTGTTGCAATCGCCAGACCTACAAGCGGACCAGTGGAAGATTTACCCGTGTGAGATCACGCCTTGGACAGTAATCAAGAAGTGGTACGATGAAGGTAGCTATGTGCCTTACGCGGATGATAAGATGATGGACTTGCTCATGGACGTGAAAGCCAAGGTGCACCCATGGATTCGTCTCAACCGTGTGGTCCGCGATATTCCAAGCCAGTATATTCTGGGAGGAATGGATGAGCCGAATCTGCGGCAGGTGATATGCAACAAAATGATCGCACGAGGTACACCGTGCAAGTGCATCCGCTGTCGTGAGGTGAAGACTGATGATGCTGCCATTGCCTCTGCGGAGTGCGTCGTTCGAGAGTACGAAGCGAACGAAGGTGACGAGTACTTTATCAGCTTTGAGACTCCGGATCGCTCCAAGATATGTGGATTTGCTCGGCTGCGTCTATCAATGACTGCTGGTGGCGGCATTTTTCCGGAGCTCGAAGGCGCCGCCTTGATTCGAGAGTTGCACGTGTACGGCCAACTCGTGGCTTCAATCAGCGAGTTGAAGAAAGATGCGGCCAGTGTCTCTGCAAACAATGGGGCAGCGCAGCACACAGGTTTAGGTACACAGCTGATGAGGAAAGCCGAGGCGATTGCTCGTGCGCATGGATACAAAAAAGTGGCTGTCATTGCTGGCGTGGGTGTCCGGAACTTTTACCGCCGTTTGGGTTTCGAAGTGGAAGGTGAAGGCGAGTTGATGATCAAGCACTTGGATGAAGCACCAGCACCAAGTGGTTGGTCGAAGGCCACTTCGTATATATCCGGCAGTCGAGGTGAAGGTTTGTCCTCCACACTTGCAATCGCTGGTGCGATCGTTCTCTTTGCAGCGACTGTAGTTGTGACCCGGAGAAGCTAAAGCCGCTTGGTATGCTTTCGTGGGGTGGTGTGAGCAGCACTATTCTTCTGTAGCAAGTACTACCCGCGATGCACTTTGACATGCACCTCTTGCAGCCAAAATTGATGGATATGATCAGAACGATCGTACGCTTCAACGAAACGGATCACTTTTGCTCGTGGTGGACATCTGCCCACGACACAGCCGTGGCAGTGACAATGGTGGATCCAGCAGCGTGTCTCTCTACTAGTACGAGTTGGTCCGAGGCGATAGAGGGATTTAGCGCCATGAAAGCTCGTGTATATGGACGGGATTGCAGTTGACGTTGAGCCAGTGTCTCGACAGCTGCATTTATGCGGATACTACCAGCAGCTCCTTCGGACCCTACGAATGGATTTCTTTTCGTAGCAGAGAGGTCCATGGTCTTGGCACGGCAACTTGGTGACAAATTCATTACGACTTCTTCACATCAGACACTGGACTGGTCCCAGTCCAACCAACCAGGTGCTTTATTCTTGACGGGTCGTGGAGCATCCATCATGAGTACTCTGCAGCAACGTGCACTTTTGCAGCATCAACCAGCGTGATGGTTGTAGCTTCGGGCTAAAAGGATGACGACAATGTCGCACCGCTGAAGGTCGTCAACTGAGTCAGAGATGTGATGCTTTTGTGACGGAGATTAATATCCTGATTAGTGTTTGCTGCTTCTGTCATTTACTTGACACACTTGATGGACTTCACTTCTTTAGCTTTTGGCGTGATCAGTTTTTACAACGAGGTTGGGCTCGAACTTGGCTCTTAGCTTAGGTTTGAAGACCAAAGAGCTTGACCGGATTGCATGCAATTCGATAGTCGCAGTAGCTCGATCCCTGAGAATCAGGTGTTTCGTTACTACCACGGCGATGATGATGAAGTTGGGTGAGCAAGCGACATTTTGTTTCGCAGTTGGCTACATCAGGCCATTTAGCTTAGTGAAGCATGTACAAAACACGAATTTGTATGACGAAAACTACATCATCAAGGTGATCGGTGGAAGCTATAGGTTGTGCTTGAAACCATTCGTCTGCTTGTTTCTGAAAGCAGAAAGGTCTCAGATGGACAAAATTTGCACTCGATTTCATCATCACGGCATTCACAGGGAAGTCAGAACGAAATATCATAATCAGAAAGTGAAACGCAATTAAGCGCGCTTGCAAAAGGCTCCTCAGGTTATAGACTGCCGTAACACTGACGGGCTTTGTTTAGGTTCATTTCTAAAGCACGGTTCAGCCTATATGACGTAATCTACGGAATCGTAATGTTCTATGATCACGCCATTTGCTGTGATAACAAGCAGATCCAGTAGGTACAAACGAGAGGTCTATAGGTTCGGTAAAAACCAGGCTCTTCCCCCAAACGATCATCACACAGTTTAAGAGCAGCTTCAACAATGTCATACTCGATACGCATCATCTTTTCCAGCACACAACTTTTGACCCGTTTACAGAGCTCCACGACAAAACAAACGCCCACTCGGCATGCCGCCCAAGCCAGCTGTCGCTGCCGAGCGGCTCAGGAAGGAGCTGAGAGCCCGAAAAGCCCGCGCGGAAGCGCTTAAGCATCTGGAAGCTACCAGTAGCGGTCCAAGCCAAAAAGAATTGGCTCAACAGCAGCAACTGAGGCAGAAACAGACAGCCAATGGCACGTCTGCTGCAGCTCAGCGTCGACTGCATGGCGGGCAGCCGCAGGCGCCTTCAGCTGCTACTAGATTCGACCCTCGCGTTAGGGACAACACGTTGCACGCATTGGCCGTGCGACGGGCCCAGGCTCTTCAGAAGACGCACGAGATCGAGCAAATGACGGAGAGCTACCGTGTCGATGTGAAGACGACAGAATATAACGCCTTACCACGTGGATGGCAGCAACACATGATCGACTCTAGATCTGGTGAGTCGTATTTTTGGAACGAGGTGCGCTGTGATTGGATGAAATGGTGTCGCTGTTAAGGTGAAAGAATGTTAAATAGGAAAACGAGACTGAGTTTCGGTTACTTGTGCGGGTGTGTTGACGTGCAGACGACCAATGAGACGATGTGGGAGCGACCTGGGAGTTTGTCAATGCAGGTACAAAGCAAGTACATTGTCCAGAGGAAAAGCTCTGAACGGGCTTGATGCTGATGAAAAGTGGGTGGTCTTTACAGAGCCACGCGGTAGCAGCTGCTGGGTCTACCACTAGTGCAGGACACTTGCCCGAGTACGTGTTGCTTCAATTTGCGTGATTGAAGCTCAGGCAGTTTACAGGATGTTGGACGGGGTGGATATCTGATGTGATGTAGTGGATGGGAAGCAGTGCCGGATGCAGCAAGCGGTGACGTTTACTACTGGAACCGAAAGTCGAACGAGACGACGTGGACGCGGCCGACTTTACGAAAGGCATCATTAGGTAAGAGCGAGTTGACGGCGTCATTCGTGCACCTACGGGTGATATAATCAGGGTGGTTGCATGATGACAGTATGTATTTGATACGCCTTGCTGTAGTGCAAGCGCTTCAGGCGAAAGCAAAGCTTGATAACATCCTGAAGGACTGTGGGAAAGCTAAAGCTGTTGACTCCTGCTCGAGTTCAACTACAAAGCCAGGTAAGGAAAGGACCGATCCGCCTACAGCAGCGAGTGCTGGTGTAGCATCCTGCAAGCGACGTGCTGCAACAAATGAGTGTTCTGAAAAGGGTGAGGACAAAAGGCGGAAACGTTCTGAGCGCGATGGTGAGACCACCATGTCAATGGAATGAACTAGGACCGGTGCGAAGTGATCTAATAGGTCCGAGCTGTGACCCGACAGCAACTAGCGTGTTGATCGGACTTTTTTCGATAAGCGGACAAAACTCTGTTCTCCGAGCTTTTGAGGGCTGGATCCGATCGGTGATATTCGAAGCGGTCATTGTGCAGAGACCAAGTTGAATGGCGAGATGGCAGTACGCGGCGCAAGTAACTTGGTGAATGCGAAATTGGGAGATAGGTGCCATCCTGGACCATGAAGTTGTACTCGACGTCAGCGAAGTACAAGTTTGGGTCTTCAATGAAGGAGCTGCGATAAAGGGGCATCTCGTGTAGGGAATGTTTAACTTCAACGTCTATTGGATTCGGTGGAAGCCGAAACACCCAGCGGTAATGCTTTTCTATTCTCTCGTGAAGACGTGACGAAAGGTATACTACTGTCCTAAGACGCTACCTATTTGCTTTGTTTCCTAGTCAATTTCTGCCGTACCGATCGATCAATGGCGCCAGATGTGCATGCATTGCTCGATATCATCAACAGCACGAACCGACTTCATGAGGGATACTAATGTGCTTATGACCGATTCTGTACGACGCCAGTCAATCACAACTCAGTAACGGACTGTTACTTCTCGTTGTGGCGCTTTGCCTTTTCCATGTACTAGATCGCACGGATCCTATCACATGTTTAGTCGCACGTTTCTTTTGAACTAGTGACAACAAGTCAAGACAGCAGAAGGTCTAAGTATCGACATCTGACGTTGTCCAGTATATGTTGCTTATCGCGTCTTATAAACATCGCTTCCAGGCACCGGTAAAACCTGTTCATAACTGCTGCACTTACAAGCTCACGGCTGCGACAAAGGGGGCCCCCCTCACAGTCACCGTCACACTGTTTTGCTGCCGCCAACTTACAATCTGCATCTTTGCGCGTGTTATTTCAAAATGATGCATCATGCAATTCCACGCTGATGCGCCGAGTGGCCTTAAAGGCACAGGCAATCATCTGATGTAAACTCATCTATGATACATGCGCTGGAAGTGTCAGCTGCAACAACGGACACCTCGGTGAAGCACTTTTTTGCCAGCAGCCCCCTACGACTACATCGTGACTGCATAAATAAGGATGTATGTAGCGTATGTACGACCCAGTTCTTGAGGAGTTTGACAAATGGGAAATCGTCGTCCTCTACACACATAGGGCCATTGAATTTCTCTGTAGCGCAAGTGGAAATGGCACGACAAGCCTCAGCCCCTCGATGCAACGAAACGCTTTTCAGCGCTCAGCAAAGAAGAGCTTTGCATGTGCGCATGCAATACGTCCCACAGCGCAGCATCGAGTGACGCAAATTTTATGGATATATAAAACACCATTTGATCATTATCTAGCATACTTGGACGACGAAAGTGTCGTCGGATCAGCAGATTGGCAAGTGCCACTTGGTTTGGCTCTCCTCCTCCATTCAATGTTTCAAGCAGTTCATTGGACGACTTTATATCCAGTAGTTTTCTTTATTTTAAGCTCGCTGCTGCCTCTGTAAAAAGACGCACATAATTATTTGCTCCCATTACAATCATAAAAAAGCTTAGCAGGTACCGCTCAGTGTTAGCACATCTAGCTACATTTGCGCTTTGTAGCGGTACATGTTTCCACAGACTCACATACTCCTACTTTACGGTCTGATTCCTCATTAAAGCGAAGGCTTTTATCTAGCACGTCAAACTTTGTTATGTAATCGCATTTTATCCAGCGACAGATTGGAGAATGGCGCAATGCCTATTACACTTGTGAATCTAGATCAATGCCTGCAACTGACCTACTTCTCAAATTTACATATTGATCCGAGCTCATGGATGCTAGTTCAACCTATTGCTGATGGCCGCTGTGTGCACAAATTCACTCGTACCCGCAATAGATAAAGCATACGTAGAAGTTTGCTTCGAGCAAGCAGCGTCCCTGGTCAAAAGCTGCTTCTGCTCAAGATTGTGAGCTTCTACACCCCATTCTCTCAGATTGTGAGCTTCTACACCCCATTCTTTCATGTGGAACTATCTGCGAACTCACCCTATGATGAGATAGCTGTTTCTACGTTTTTACTGCACAAGAGACTGAAGTAGCCATTTCTGCAACAACCAGCACCACTTTCGAGCCACGCGACAGTCCAACTCTTCATCTTGCCTCGCGTTAAGACGAGCAGATTCGCCACCGATGTATGTGACATCCCGTCCGAAAGCTGCAATACCGCCTGCAAATGGTATATCCCCCATCGCCTGGAAGGCTATGTAGCCACATATACGCAAGAGTGGCATATTTACTTCAGCACAGCTCTACGAGATTGCAGCGAACTTGTCGATCAGTACCAAGCACAGCTAATCAGCCGACTTCTCTCGTCGACGACTGCTCTCAGCGTACAAGTGTGAGGTGCGACATCCACTTTGTGTCGTTGCTTCGCTTTTGTGTGTTACGTACCGTCACTATGCAATTCGTGTGGGACCGATGTTGGCTGAGCTACAAAACTATTGTTCCACTCAAATCGATAGTCCATACATAGCTGTCCTATTACGTCAACTATGTGACCATTCCCTCTATCGTAACAGCACTTTGCGGTCGGCATTGCATCCTACGAGTAAGTTCGCAGTTCGCTCAATCTCAGTATCGAGTTTTAGTATTTTTGGTTTCCGTCAAGATTCAGTGCGTCCGTGCAGTACGCGCATCGACCATGACACTTTGGTACTCTGCTAAGTACGATTCGCTACTCTTCCGTCAAAGAGATCTTCTTGTCTAGCATGTAATTTTCCAATCGTCAGAAAGATCGAGTGCGGTGCTTGGCATTCGACACGGAATTTCGACGTTTTCATTTCACACGTTGCCTTTTTGACTTGACAAGTTGAAGTTGAAGTGCGCACTTTGCAGACGACCATGGGGCGACGAGGACGCGAAGAAAGCGGTAGGTGGTTAGCGAGGCCAGCAAGTGAATACCATTCACTAGACTCCTGACAATTCGCTCGTAGGCAATGACGTCGTCACGGGTGAACGCTGCGTGAAGCTCTTGCGAGGCGGACGAGAAGGTGCTTGGTCCACTCCAGTGCTTGAGTCGAAAATAAATTAAAAGTTACATCTGTGATCTCATCCTACAAACAGGCACTGCACGTCCTAGTGAAAGCTGGAGCTGGAGAGCAGTGCTCGAGGGTCTCCACTTCGTTCTGGAGAACGGAACCGAGGGCGACGCGGTCGCGTGGCTCGACAACGGCACGCACTTTTGCGTACTGCAGGCACGAGAAGACCGACTTGCGAAAGTACTGGGGCTGCGCGTGTGCTCCCTGCATCAGGTGCTCGAGGCCTTGAACTTTGAATCTGAAGCAGAGCGAGGGTGGGAGTGTACCGTCTATCACCACGACTGCTTTGTGCTCGGGCACCCAGAACAGATCGACCAGATTGTACCAGCCGTCGGTCACGAGATACCTTATCTCAGTACTTTCACGGAGAAAGACGTGCCACGACCTTGTGTCGCCTACAACTCGGCACTAAAGCCCTTGGAAGTTCGACTGAATCTATCGAGCAAGAGCCCTCAGTCGTGGAGGGTCACGATCGCACCTAGTGTATTACTCTGCCCGACCTTTGACGCCACGGACACTTCTAGTCCTCACGAAAGGGCTGACCCCTTCGACGGTAATAGAGCCGGTGACGGCTCCTGGGGTCACGTGTCTCAGGACTCGTACCATCCGAGCGACCACGACATGACTTCGCCGCTGTGGTGGTCCCAGCGAAGCGACTTCTCCAGTATCTGCACCGATGATCTGTCTGACATGGACACGCTCTCCCAGATCAGCGCGTTCTACGCTTAACTTACGCCAAAACACTTGCTTTTCTCTGTTACCTTCTCAATGACGAGTCAAACCTCCAGGTGGACAATGCACACGTCATACAAATGTCCTAAAGCGTTGATCTAACAGTCGCGACAAGAGAGATCACGTCACCCGATACAAGTTGCGACAAACGTGCACTCTGGCCGCAAGCGCCGTGTTACTACTACGCATTGCGAAGGACGGTATTCCCTCGACCCTACAGTGAGTTCTTCCGCTGGAAACTAGTGATCGAGTGATCAGGGTCAGACCGGTCGCCGTTGATGCTCTCGTCTTCTGTCATCGTCACGTGCACCGACGTCAACGGCCCCGTCGCGTTCGGAGCCTCATCGCTCGTGTACAGAGGCACAGCGCCCTCGTCCGCATCGCTCGAGACGTCCACGCCGTAATGGTCGTAGATAGTCTTCACCGTGATCTCCGTGTCCTTGTGGTTAATGTCCTTGTAGTACGCCTCCAGCGTGAACCAGATGAGGGGCACAATGTACAGCGCAGAGTACACGTCAAGCGTGTAGTGTTTACGCGAGGCTACAATCAGGAACGCAATCGCGATCTGAACGGCGATCATGATGGCAACGCCGTACTTGTTGAGCCAGTACTTCGACATCGTCAGAATGAGCGACACGGTGTAGATCGTATGAGAGCTGAACATCAAGTCTCCGCAACCTTTGAGCGCGTCGATATGTGTGAACAGCTCGCCGGTCCCAGGCGGTTTAAAGTCTGGGTTCGGAACCACGCACGGTATCGGATTGTCCGGATTCGCCTGCATACACGCGTCGTCAAACTTGAGCTCACAGTGATCAGCTGGAGACGGAAGAGCCGTCGAGAGGAACGACAGGACACGAAGGACCAGACAAATGCTGATCTGCATCAAACAGCGTTTGAGCACGATCACGAGGTAGCGTGGACGCCCGGGCTCTTGCTTTGTAAAGGGGATCGTCAACACCAAGCAGATGGCGGGGCCAAAGATCACGGCGAACACGAGAATCTCCGAGAGCGACGTGGCAAAGCCGTGGATTTCCGGCAGCAGCTCGAAGCCCAGATCATACAGCGTGAAGCGCTGCTCGATCGACAACTGGTTGCCCTGGATGTAGTAAGCCAGATTGTGGAAAATGGCGTGGACGTACTGCATGATGACACAGGGCAAGATGATCTTCCACTCCAGCCTGAGCAGCTGCAGCTCAATCTTCACATAATTGATGAAGCTCTCCTTGTTCCGGAGCTGCCATGTTCGACCCATCATCTTGACTGGGGAGACAGAGAGGGGGGGAAAAGAGAGAGCGAGAAGGCTCTTGGAACTGGCTAGTTGCGTGATTAGCTCCGTCGCGAGCGTGTAGAAGACGCCGTTGGTTTGAGCTGTAGGGGGTGGAGGCACTGGCACTGGCAGAGGAGAAGGTGAGGTGTTACGACTGACAGCTACTTGCACTAACGCTCCGATACGGACGTTCCTCGGAGACTCGCGTGAAGTCGCTCTTGTTGTCGAGTGGACGAGTCCAAGTCGCTTTCTCCCCTCGATGGGCGTGGAGAACGACGACGCTGAACGTATGCGGTTCGTCTGCTGTTGGATTGTGAGTAGCAGCGCGGACTAGGGGTGCGATGATGATGGTGTAGACCATTGAGACGATTGCTACCAAGACGACTCTAAGACCCGATAGAGGTGATAAAACGTCGTGATAAGACTGCTGTATTTGACGTGCTCATCATGATCAGCGACCTCTATTTTATCGTATCCTTACAAAGCAAGATCTCGTGTGACTATCGGATCTAACGGGGATTACACCCTTCTCCGCATCGCTCCCTCACATCTAACATTTGCTGTTGTCGTCGCCGAAGGAGCTCCGTCCTTGCTCCACTTGCTCTTCAATCTCGCGACGGCCTTTTTGTAGCCATTCCGTCTCTCTCGCTAATAATGACGACGGAACGATGTATGTTGTAGCCACGAGCCGAAAAAAAACGTCTTTCGTAGCGACGCGAACGAACGGCCTTCACCACCGGCAGTTTCGACTGGCCGTGCAAAGCTTTTTTCGACTGGATTTTTCTTTCAAGTGCCAATAGAAACGTGAGACGCGACGTAATGGGGCAATTCGTCGATGCATGCGCAAGAACATGCTGGTGTACAAGAGTAGGACACGTGCCTTCAACTCATGCAGCCCCATCGACCGATCATTGCTGGCAGCTTCAGCGGCTACGAGCACTGGATTTTGAGCTCATCACGGTGCCCTGCGTGACCGGCACAAGAGATGGCGCTAATGTGCGTCTACAGGCTGGCGACGCATGTTTAGATCGCTATCTGCTGTCAATAGCTCTCCTGGTTTAAAGCTGTTGAGGATAATTGATGTGATCCCGATGGTGTAGTGACCTCCTGAGTGTTGGTAGTGAGTGGTGAGTGTCGCCACGTGTGAGGAGGTGATCCCTTTGTACGACTGTCGTCACGGTTTCTGAGAAGCTCGTGACGAGAAGTTCCGTGCGTGCATTTTCGAGCAGTAAGAGATACAGATATGGCACCAATAGAGTGGACCGAGAGCACTTTGTCCGCTCCGTTCGTGTGGAGTGAGGAGCGAGAGTTGGACAGCCAGCCAACCGGATAAAGGCGGTCCATCCATTCGTACACCGGTGGTGGTCGATCAAGCCCTTTCTGATTGGCTGGCATCGAGTGCGATGCGTGACATGAGCTGCTGGTCCAAACGGTTGCGCAAGTGACACCCAACACGCTCTCAGCCGGACGTCAGTCCCTTCTTCCTTCCAGAGTCACGCCAGCTCCTTATCTCGAGTATGACCACGTCTGTTGGAGCTAAAGTGCTGGCCGAGGTCTACCGCTTGCACCACATTCCCCTGCCGCCCATCACACTCCAGGAGCTGCTGAAGCGCGGGCCAGGAGCCAGTCCCGCCATCGCAGCGACCCTCCAGAACGATCCACAAGCGCTGAACAAGTGGCGGGAAGTGAACGCACCAGCTATTGTCACATCGGCGCAGCTGCTGCACCGCGAAGTGCCGATCCGTATTTCTCGCCGCATTGTGGACCTTGAGAATTTGCCAGACGAGCTGCCGCAAGCGAAACCCATTGTGTCTCTGCGTGAACAGCTTTTGAGTAGCTTTGACCAGCTTATGAGCTGCCCGCTGCCTGCCAACCTCGCGGGCGAGAGGGACTTTATGGAGCTTCATCGGAAGATCAGGAAGGAGCATGCCACGATGCATGGCAATATCGCCGAGGCCGTCCAGGCGCTCAAGTACGAGCCCCAAGGTCTGAGCGAGTCACTGGATCACTTCTATAACTCGCGCATTGGCATCCGGATGCTCGTGGACCAGCATTTGGCAGCACAGACACCGAAGCCAGGGTTTACGGGTATTGTCCACAATGAGTGCTCTCCCATGGCAATTGCTCAGGAGATTGCGCTCAAAGTGCGTCCAATGTGGCAAGAGAGTCTCGATGGCGAGCAGTTGCCCGCGATCATTGTGAGTGGCGACGAGCAGGCCACGTATCGCTACGTTTCGGAGCACGTTGAGATTATTTTGACTGAGGTGCTGAAAAACGCGGTATTGAACAGTGTTGCAGCGGCTAAGCGGGCGGGTATCGGCTCCCCGCCGCCGGTCAATGTGCTCGTTTCGGGCGGACTACACGGCATGTGCGTCAAGGTGTCCGACTTGGGTGGCGGCATGACCCGCAAGGAAGCCAATGCGTTGTCGAATTATTACCGAACAGCGACGGACCCGTCATGTGACGGGTATGACCCTGTAGCAGAGGCACTAGAACGACGTGCTATGGGACTGGATTTTTCGGACTCGTTTGGCCTGCGTATCGCTCAGCTGTACGCTAGATACTTCGGTGGAGAGCTGGCTATTATGCCCATGGAGGGACACGGAGTGGAAACGTATATCTACATGAAATGCCTCACCGGCGACTCTGAGCTCAAGTAACGCAGATTGTTTGTGTTGGCGGCAGCTCTTGCCAGCCCACTGCTGAGGTGAATGGGTCAGCTATAGACCTGGTGACCATCATCACTAAGTGCAGTGGACCAACACTTTTTTCGCTGAATAGAGTTTGCGATGAGCAGTGCCGTGCTAACAGGTAGATATTGTTTAATGGCAGCTCAGCTACCCTGTACTTTCCGGCTACTTGTCGTAATATTTACACTCGAGTGGTCGACTCGGCCGACTACTGCTCTTGTACCCAGGAAAGTTGAATAATGATCTTGAACGGTAATTGACCACGTACAGCGAGACCATAGAAAGCTGAGTGATGGTACAGCAGCATTGCGAGTTGTAAAGCTTTGCTCCCGATTTTATCGTCCGCCTACAATGGTCGGATCTCTGTGGCTGATCCAGACCTGTCTGAAGTCCGACTCTACGTAAGTGCGCTTCGAACAAGCGAGATATTGGTCGCTGGTTACGCTTGTTTACATGGTCCATTCTCTAGCATTGTCAGCTTGTGTATGTGTGTGTTCCTGAACGTATTGGCTCCACCCATACTGCTGTGGACTTAATTCAATGACTTCAATGAGCGAAAGCTTCCCGACGTAACGATTTGTGTGACAATCTGTGGCCAAGTTGGCGGCCCAAATTCAACTTAAACTTTTTGTCTGGTAATAAAATCGCTCAACATCGAAGCGCGTGAGCGTGTTCCTCAGGAAACACAATGGCCCTCTGGCACCTTGACCAAATCCGCGGTTTTTCCAGGCCGGTTATTCTTCCTGTATGAATATTCCATGAACTCCTATCAAGCCGCTACGAGTCGAGAGAAGAAAAGCATGAAAGCCGTGCACTCGAAAAGCTAGACGGACGGCCGTGAGAAAAAGCCATATGGCATCCGATATTTCCCCCTGTTTGCTAGTTCGTGCTTTCAATAATCGAGTACGTATGCGACTGTTTGCTCTTATCACGTCGAAAGCCCTGATGCGGAAAGAGCCAACTATTGTATTGCAAAAGCGACGTAAATTAGACAGCGTGATCTGCCAGACTTCCTTAAGCTGCTTTGGTGGACCACCGATCTTGTCAGGATTGTGTGTACGTCAGTATGCTGAGCTCGTACAATCATCAAATATGTACGCATGTACGAAGTCACAGAGCTTGTGCTAGCATGTACATGCAGCTTGATACTTTGTGCTGATTAAACTGCCAGGACGTAAATTGCCAGTACAGGTGCAGCGAGTGCAGCAAGTAACTGAAGAGCTTTGAATCCCGGGACTTGAATCGTTCGGCGCAACAGCATCGAACGGACGGCGACGAAGAGCATCCACAGCGAGCTGGTGGATGCTAGTCAGCAGACCCGACGAATGGCTGTGATACCACGTGCTGAGTAGTCAGACGCAGGCATGATATTTAACAAAGCAGTGACACCAGACATTTCCACGCTGAGCTTAGAATGATGATGTGTCTCGCTTCTTTGAGTCGTGTAGATCTTATGATGCAGGCTAGTAACCTTCTTTGAAAAGGTAAGTGGCTCGCTTCGCTACAAGTGTGCAAGCTTGAGTTTATGATGCTGCCCGCACGACAAAGTCTTGGTAGCTCCTGGATATAGCATCTCGTTCAAAAGAATTGAACGCATGGGTGCTGAACCTTCTCCACCTCTTGGCCAAGAAGCATAGCACTGTCAGCGCGTTCAAGGATCGTTTACCTACCGATGGCGCAATCTGTCATGTTTACGGACTACATGTGGCTATCACTCTACTCGTCACCTACAGTTCGACATGATATGACGTGCATGGCCTTCGTAAACAAAGTCAGCTGCTACCGATTGAGTCTTCTCTCTCTCTATCGCACGGTAGACAAAATGCTACGACCAAACCCACTGCCCACGCTATGCTGATCAACAAATCAGCTATGCCGTCATCGAGGCCATTCCATCCCAAATCAATGATTCTCGAATGCAATAACACACGAAATCTCAAACAAATGTCGCAAAACGCTTTCAATAGCACAATAAACTGCCAATTGCGTCCACTCCAGTTTCCACACAAGTTTTCTCAAAAGCATACAAAAGCTCCATCACATTCAGCAGGTCCAATATTCTCAGAACAAATAGTCGTGTGCACATGGGTGGACGGACCATCCCCCACTCCCGTTTATAGGCGTTTTCCAGAAAACGACCAAAGACTTGAGCAGTTGGAAACCGAAATGCCAATACTTAGCACCGAAGAGCAGGAGCTGATCCAGAAGGACCGCGAGGCCAACCCTGGCTGTTTCTACTCCACTGCTTTATCCCAGTCCTGCAGGTCGACGAACGGGGACAGCAAGTGCGAGATCATCAAGAAGATTTTCCGCCAGTGTCCGAATGCGCCCAAAGAGCTCATTTCGAACCGGAAAGAGGTTGCGGAAGATGAACATGGCAGTGCCGGGATGGGTGGGGACTTTTTCAATCGAGAACGGATGGACCCGCGCATGGAGTGGGTGGAGTCAATGAGGTTTTAAGTCAGTGGATTACACTGTACAGTAGTAACAAAGTAGTGGTGATGTGCTGCAGAGGTGAACACGACTTTGGTGCAATGTTTCAGCAACGGTACGCTTGCTGGCTGAACTGGTTGTCGTTCGTCGAGGTCTGAAAATGGTCTTGACGTGTGGTTGTGGTTACTATAGTGGTGACGATTTCGAGGCTCAAATGAGTCCGTTTGCCTTTTTTCGACAAGAAATGCTGCGTCCGTTTGAAGGTAGCAGCTCCCCTAGTGCAAGGTGGTTTGCTGTTTGTAGCATTGTGTGACGTGCTGTTCTTTTGGATGGTGTAGAGTTCTTTGGTGGTGGCTTGTTTGGCCGTGGTGACTTTAATCCGTTTGAAGGTCTGGATAGAGAGCTCGAGCGGATGCCGATGCATCCGCCGTCACCTGTGCCTCACCGCCCGTCTCGACAGATGCCCTCTAACCCTCCACATTACTCGTTCCAGCCGTCTCAGGACAACGGCTCTACCGGTTGGTCTCTTCTAGTTGATGAGTGGCTTTTGATGTTTGTATGATCCTCACGAGGCTTGTTTACCGGTGTGCGTAGACTCGGATGCCAAAGCACGTGCACAAGAGAGAGGCGATATGTTCGCTGGGTATTCGGGCCGAGTGGACGAAATTTAGACGTTCTAGCCAAGTGATTGAGCGTATAGCTTCATTCGCATTGTGGACATTCTGTTGAATCCGCAACGAGCTCAACATAGTCCTGTACGCATTTTAAGCTGGATTTGTTCGACTGAGTGGCCCATTTGGTTACTACATTTGCCAGTGCCATCGCCATGACGAAGCAGTTGAACACCTGATTGTAGCAAGACTACTATTGTCAAATTGCTACCCTTGATTGGTACCAGAGCAGTAAATCATGTTAGGCAGAAACCGAACCTGCGATGGTAATCCACAAAGAACAAATATGTGCAACTCTGGCCATTGCAGCCCGTCTTGCCCGCAAGAAAACAAAAAGGTTTATCCGTCATTACTACATCAAGCCGGTCAGAACACGGCTGCAACCATTTTTCACGATTGATCCGGTTTATCACGACTTGGTCTTGGTCATCATCGCCAACGTTTGAAAAGCCAAATTCGCAGATATTGGCAACGTTTCCGACTTCGTGGTAGTGATATCGTCATCGAGTCAGTTGTCAACGTGGACCCCAAGTACGACAATGGATGCATCATCTATATTTCGTCGGTGCCTTACAGTCGTGTTCACGTAATTGGCGCGCCGAACATTGTCTAGTGTTGTTAATCGACTTCCTTGGTCCATTGCAGACCACAGTATTGTAGTGCAACACAATCTTGCTTCTCGCGTCATGCTATACTACGAAGTTGTAGTCCTGTGTTGAAACAGCTAATGAGAAGCTGGAAAGAAAAAGAAAAACGAAGCGATCCGAGCGATGTTGGTTTGATCTGGCAAATACGCCAGGTATCCAGAAGAGATGTGATCTCCTTTTTTATCAGTTAAGTTTCCCTACACGTACGATACCGTACTTACAAACACTTGCTTATGTTTATGAGACAACGATCCAGAAGAAGTTGACGCTGCACTTTGTGCTTCACGCGGACGGTATTATGCAGATGTAAGGCGCGACTTTGTCAAACGGAAGGATCACACTGGACGTGTAGCCCTGTAACAGAATTTGAATGAACAGTTAACTAAACCTAGCGTAGTATTGTCGATGATAAAATTCCTGAAGACGGCCACGCGATCTCGGATACATCATCAAGGTGAGCGTGACTACTACAAAGGGCCTGGTTCTCGCCTATGTGTTTCAATGACCAGATAAATTCTATAGCCGTTTCTGGTTACTTTCATTACGCATTGCCGAAGGTGTGCTTGGTGTTACGTATGAGTGTCCTGTCTACAAAACCAACACATGCTTCCCTGGAGTAGGAAAATGAGCTGTGAAAAGAAGACTGACTAGCTCTGCTGCATACTTCTGTTTCCACATGTGACAAGATTTGAGTGAAAGACATTCTGTCATAGCTACCAGATGCGCAACAGTATAGATCTCAAGCATCGTTGTGGACCGATGACGTTTGCTTTCATACACGCAAAGCCGAACGTTAGCTCGGAAAGTCTTACATTCGTCAAAGAAAAAGGCGCCTGATGTAAAGACGGTTCTCATCTGATTATTGATCATTAGAAACGTGAACCGGATGCAGTCTTCTATCAGTCGTACAGGATATCTCCTGTACGACAGATAGGAGACTATGATACACACAAGCTTCGGTGCCTCTTTATTCCTGAACTCGCCTTGTTTGCTTGTCGCCTAAAAGTTCTTGTTTAAAGATTCTCACTATTACGAAATGAGGGTAATGTGTAATTTAAAGTAAGCAGAATATCTTCACATCGAACTGGTGACTGCACAACGGCACACCACGTTTTGTACCTGATCAGCACAAGCATTAGCGATAACTTTTTGAAGGAAATTCGTCCAGAAAAGAGCCACGTTGATGTGTTTGAGACGCTTCGGGGATGTTGTAGGTCCGTGCGTTAAGTATGCACCACGACGGTACCTATTTGGTTTACTTTTGCCTTCGATATGCGAAAGATATTTTGACAACCCGGAATCAATAGTATGGCATTAGGATGGCTAGTCTATTTTGTCGTCGACCTGTGTCAAAATAGTCATACACATTCCGACAATATGTAGCTCACTTTAAAGTGTCAAACACTTTTACGATTCGGGTAGACGTATTTGCTGCTTTGCCAATATGCGCGACTTCTCTTGTCCACCACAAACTGAGAACCCTGGACGCACAGAATGTTTGAGACCATGATGCCTTGAAATAGAAAGCGAAAAGCTACACGCTCAGGAGGACGAGCCTCGGTCGTCGAATATCTAAACTTTTCACTGTGGCATTAGTACCAGATAGACGAATGGCCGGAGGCATTAGCTACTTGCACTCCGGCACGGCGAACTTGTTGGACTTGCTTCGTTTTCCAGGTAAAAAACACTCTCATCTTTGTACTTCAGCTGGCCATAATGCTCCTTTGATATCGCCACCACCCTCCTCTTTACCTGAGACGATGCAATATCAATTACTTTTACGGGAGTCTTTGAAAGCTCAGGGTCGTACGGTTCACTGCTCAAACCAACGTAAAAAAAACACATGTATCGTCAACGACACGTGTACTTTTGACAACTACATCATACATCGTACCGTTTGAGCATGCCCACGCGGAGCATGACGCGACCTTCATTGCAATCCTTCCGCTTCGACTGCGAGCCTGCATCGTTACGATCGATTACGTAGATGCTGAGAATTTCGCAGACCGAAAAAAGGAGGTAGTGATCGGCGGTGCTGCTCGCAATATCCGCCAATACCATCTCCCCCGTGTACAACTTCAGTGTCGTGCTACAACATACAAAACAAATGTGTCAAATCAGTACAAGAGCAGCGAGGAACAGAGTGGTTAATGTACTTGTCACTGTCGCCAATCTCGGTGCTTGCGGCAAGCAACTCTCCTCTACCAATGCGCAGTGGTTCAAAGACGGGTTCTCTTGGGTCCAAAAGTCGCTAAAACCACAACCAAAACTGATCATCTCATGCGCCATTACAGCTAGCGTTCGATTGCACTAGCTGGCACGTACCTGAAGAATCACGCACTCAGTCACCCACTGAAATCCTTTGACGGGGACGTCTTTGGTTTTCTTATAATATCGACACGTCTGTATTAGGTTGCACACCAGATGCACAACCACGTAAGCGACAAGTACAATGATAGGCAGCAGAAGTCCATTTTTTTTGCTCACCGGCGTATACTCGTCGCATAATACCACATCTACGTCACTGTTATCCTTGGTAGATAAATTCTGTAGACAAGGCGTGAGACGACCAAAAGGTTATCGAACAGGGAAAGTGCTTACCTCGTGGACAGCTTTTGCACCGCAAGCCTTCAATATAAATGCAATGAGATTCATCTTGTCCTTTGTTTCCAGTTTACAGAGATGTGTAACATCACTTGCGATACCAAAAGTATAGCCTGCAAAAATCTCGAGCTGATCGGATAAACAGAAGCGGTGAGTTCGTCATCAAAGGCCTCTCAAATCCAGCACAGCAGCACTTACGTGTCTAGGGGGCAAACACTCGAATTTCCGAGTGGTCACAGAATAGCCTGTCGGAACTTGGTACCCATCGAACGGTATCACGCCCCCTTCCTCGATACAATCCTTGATCCAATCAGTATGGACAACAGGGATCCCGCAGGCAACAGCTTGCATAAACTTGCGCTTACGCCACGATACAGGTGTAGCGATCACCACCGCCTTTAGGTTGCCTTTGTACAAAACGTCCTGATACCGCTCTGGAATTTTACCCCCATGTCCTTCAATCAGCTCTTTCAAATTCTCTTCACCACTCTTCACGAAGCCCGTCAAACAAAACTCAAACTTGTACTTGAAGAGCGTTCGAGATCTTGATACATATGCACGTTGAGAGGGCACTGGCGATAAAACTCGTGTTCGTGTTCGGACTTTCGGAGTCGACGAAGGTGTTGACTGAGCGGATCGAGTACTACGTCGTGTTGGAGGCCGTGGAGTCAACGGGTTGCTGCAATTATACTCTGTCAACGACACATTATCAGGAGAAGAGAGAAAGCCACGCTTTCGTTTCTTTGTCACTGGGGTGGACGTGTTTTGGCTCGGACAATCAACTTGAGCCACAAGGTCCTGTTTTCTTGTGCCAACAGACATACCGGAAGTCGACGGGGACATGCCCTTCAGCTGCGCTCGACTAGCGACAACATCTTCAGGGGTAATATCGTCTAACCGAGTCGGTGTAGACGTTGGCGTGGACTTAGACAGTGGCAGACACGGCGGACTGGCGGACGACTGATAGACGTAGGGCTCGTCACTTCCAGATAAGGTTTCAAACCTCGTAGCTGCAAGCGTACCTTCACTACAGAGACTTGCTCTCGAATCAGGCTCGTCTTCTTGTGAATCAGGCATGGAACCAGAGAACTGAAGGCTACGAATAGCTTTGGCGTGATAGTCGGACCCGGCAATATGCTCTCCTGTCGCTGGCGCATCAACCTCCTCCATATTGTGGTAGGAAGGTTCGATCATGGGCTCACCATCTGTTCGAATATTGCTGGGCTGCGTAGGCAAACACTCGTCTTCGTCATCCCCGCCTACAAGCGGCTTTGGCGCTAGCTCCACTTCGCCACACGCAGCGGCGGCAGCGATCAACACATCGTATGGCTCAGATTGACGAGAGTTGACGGCTAACGTTAAGCATTCCTGCTGCATAGCTTGCAAACTTTCTCGACTCGTCACCTTATCGTCACCACTTTGCTGGCCTGAATTTCGATCAAGCGTACGTCCAGCGGCGAAGTGTTCTTGGCTGTGGCTACAATTCGCCTCTACTCTTCGTTCGTCGCTTGTCTTTTCGAGCAGTGCTTTCTCGTAAGATACGGATTTTGCGCCATAGGACAATGCCTCTTCGTCGTCATAGTCATCTGCATCGGCCTCACTCTCTTCTAGCCTCTGGGTGCACTCCACCTCATCGTCGCAATCCGTCTCTCGCTCACTCCCTCGATCGACACTACTCTCTTCACATTGCTCCATATCGCTACACACGACCACGTTCTTCCCCAACACGCACACCGCATCATCGTTACTCGACGCGAGCGCAGTCTCAAAGACCGTCTCTGGTGATAAATGCTCGCTAGCCTCTGAGCACGCCCGAATCGAGTCATCAGCGTCACGCTGCTTCTTCTGTTCTCGACTCCATTCCATCTCCTTCTCCTTCTTTTCATCACTGTCCTCAGACTTTTGATTTTCAGCTTGCGAGGTTGCAACCTCCATAGAAACCAGTGGGGACACCACAGATCTCCGGTCTTTCGTGCACGTCACACACACCCCTTCGTTCCCGCGATCATCACTCGGCACCCTCTGCTCCTCGTCTCCAGCCACTGCCACAGAGACTGTCACCAGGTCCTCGTCCACTTGCGTATCTGCCGCAAATAGATCGTCACTGAGAGCGTCGAAAGTCGCTGAGCCACGGGCAGAGCGGCCGCCGCCACTCGTCGCGTCCATGTCCAGCACAAAGTTCCTCCAGCGGCTCTTCTGCTTCGTTGGCTCGGGAGTGGCGCTCCGAGCCGCGTCCTCGTTGATGCTTGGAGACACGAGGTAGCCAGGAAACGCACTGGGGTCTGCGCTGCATTGCTGCGACTCGGCAAAGCTGTCGCTCTGGGGCTGCGACGGACTCTCGGGCTGCACGAGCGACAGTTCAGAGACGATCCAGGCGGTCGGAGACGCTGGTGGAAGTGGTGGAGCCTCCATCTGATGTAGGCTCCGTGCAGTGGCCGTCCCTGCTATTTGTTGGTAAGGCTGTGGGTAATTAAATGATTAATCAGTGGGATTGATAAAACAAGAAATAAAAACGATGAGCGAATTAGGCGAACAGCTTGCCGTGAAATTAGAAAGTATACGATAGGTGTAACGGGGTTGCACGAAATTATGGTGCGTTGTACCAGGGGTGTTACACACCTGAGGTTACCCCTTTGTGAAGCCTTTGTGATATAGAATATCTTATTGGTTTGTAGGGGCTGACGAGTGTCAGCCATTAGGTACGAAAGATCTTTGAGTAGGATTAAGATATTCTATAGGCTTTAACAAAATAAAATCAGTTCCCATTTTGATCGGAAGGACACGTGGCTTGCGAGCCGTCTTGATCGTTGATCACTGATCACTAAGAGCTAGCGACACCTCCTCGAGGTAGCTACTCTTGAGCACTGAGTGCTGTCGATTCACTGAATCGTTAGGTCCCCCTGGAACAGGGATCTGAAGCTGTAAAGCTTGTTGACTCGTAAAGTCATTAGTACTTTGGAACTAAGTTGCTCGTAGAGCGTTAAGTCTTCCTCTGACTAAAGGAGCTGTGTAGCTCCGCTACACTTGGTAGCACTTGTAGTCAATCTACGCCTGAGTCTTTAAGACTGATCCTCTGTGGGGATGGACAACCCGACTCTACTCTCTGAGGCCCAAAAGGTCACGCTTGATAAGCTGACCGCATGTTTGGGTCCATAGTACGTGGAGTTCCTTGTTTCACAAGGTCCTGAAGTGCTCAATGCACGTGTTGAAAGCTTCATGCAGTATGAAGCGACCCTTTTAGGGCAGGCCCAAGACCAAATAGCTTCGGCTCTGCCTACACGCTGCGTGTCTGTACCAGACGAAGAGGCTAAGCCTCGTCCACTTAGAGTGGAAGTAAAAAACTACTCCGGTAAGGAGGGTGAGAACCTCATCCTCTGGATCTGTGAGATCGAGATTGCCATGAGATCAGGTCTGATCACGCTTGACCATCAACAGGTCTCGCTGGCTATCTCGAAGCTCGATGGTAGAGCTAGAGAATGGACCTTGACGTGTAGCACGTCGGTGGACATAGCGTTTCCCACATGGGAGTCGCTCAAGTCACAATTGGTACAGGTATTTTCTCCACCTAACCAGGCTTACCGCGTGCGTTCACGCTTTCTTTCTATCCTCCAGGGTAAGAATGAACTATCGGACTATGTCCAAGAGCTGCGAACCCTCATGGCTGCAATGCAGTCTGACCCTCTGCCTGAAGCAGTCCATGTGACTATCTTCATGGAAGGTCTACGTACTGGCATTGCCAGAACCGAGGTTTTTCGGGTTCACCCCTCTACGTTTGAAGAGGCTGTGAGAATTGCTCTTAATGCTGAGCATAACTTCAAGTCGGCCAGACTTGGTTGGAATGGATTCAATCCTCGCTCTGTGAGAGCAAACTATTCGGGTACCACTGCCTATAATAGGCCTGAACCGATGGATCTCAGCTATGCTGAAGATGGAGGTGAAGCTGAGCTTCAAGCTGCTGAGCAGCAACACATCGTACGACGATGCTTTACGTGCGGAAGCACTAAACACTTGCGGCCTGGTTGCCCTTTGCGTAAGCAACGTCAGGCTACGAGCCAACACTCGACCCGAGCCAGAAGTTTGGCATGGCACTGGGAAATGCCGACGCCTAGTAGGCGCGGGGCGCCCTACTGAGGAAGAACTGGGTTCTGTTGCACATTTAGGACGTAAAGTTAAACAGATCTTATCTCCAAAGAGTACCATACCCATTGGTATGTAGCGTGGATACAAGTCTGGCTTGTTGGTCGCCGAGGCGAAAATTAAGGGCTTTGAGAAGCCTTGGTCGATATTGATCGACTCTGTATCGTCTTGCAATTATGCTCGACGCCGTTCCCTTGAGGGAAGTCAGCGTTATACCGAGGCGCTTACAGCGCATGAGGGTGATTCTATCACGGTTCGTTTAGCGACTGGAAGTCGCGTAACTGTGCCTAAACTTCCGTTGAACTTAGATATATTTTTTTTAGACTTTGACAGTATTGAGCGCTGTCTTGTCCTAGATTTGGACTCGAGATATGGTCTCATCCTTGGTATGGCTTGGCTTGAACGCCATGAACCCTGGATTGATTGGAGGTCTAAGACCTTAGGCGCTACGCGCAATGTTCCTAGCGAAGCTTTGGAGAGTCATGAACCCACCTTCGCTAGGCAACAGAAGCACTATTGCCGCGAGCCTTTGGCAGAAGGTGTCAATGTGCTGGACATTGGAATGTCTGAGTTGTATAACTCCAATGTTGTAAACATAGATTCCGAGCGTAGCTCGTTAGATATCGGTGATACGGCACGTACTCCGTAGAGTGTTACTCGTGTGATAACGAGTCACTGCATGCTGAAAGCAATTGATGGCCTAGGGCCGAGTAATCAGGGATGTGATTCCTTTGATGTGTGTATGGTGGCACGTGAAACTGCACCGAGTGCGGTCGGCCGTGAGAGCACCGCACTGAATGTCGGTAATGACATTTTCGGCGATACGCCATTTAGTGTGGGCGGATGTGAAGACACCACGCTTAACATCGATAATGGCGTTGTTGGCGATGTGCCATATAGTGTGAGCGGCCGTGAGGGCACCACACCTAATGTCAATAATGATATTGTTGGCGATACGCCGTATAGTGTGGACGGCCGTGAGCGCACCACACCTAATGTCGGTAATGACCTTATTGGCGAGGCGCCGTTAAATTTGGGGCTAGGCCCGCATAATACACGTGGAGTGGCACGTTTCAATCCACTGGGTGAAGTGTTCGAGTTATGTAACACATCACCGAATGTCGGTCAAAACAAAAGTTCTCGTATAGAGCGTACTATGGTTGGTAGTAACCATGGGGACAATATTATCCCGATCTCTAAGGGGTGTAAGGTCTCGAAGAGACGATCGAGACGCCGGGTAGCTACTTTTAAGCGCCAGGCGTCCTCACAGTCACATAGTGATAATAGTAATACACTATATACACTTGTTAATGGAGTGACTGGTCAGGTTGATGGCAGTGTTTGCCTTGAAACCCTTCCATCCGTGGACGCTCTTTGTGAGCTAAACGAAATGTCTGATGGTGAGTTTAGCCAGGCCTTGAAGGCAGGAGAGTTATCCGAGTTATCGGTCATTAGACCTGATACTGAGTTGAATTCTTCCTCGTTAGTGGATGAGTCTGTCCTAGAGGATACAAAGGCGGCACTTAGTGCACGAAGTCGATCTTCGATCCTTAAAGATCCTTTGGATCCATTTTATCCTTTGGTTAAGGAATTTCAAGATGTAGTGTGTCACAACCCACCGTCTGTCCTACCACCTGATAGAGGTGTACTTCAGAAAATAGACCTAATTCCAGGAACTAAATACTGCGTAACACGGCAGTGGCCTTTGCCTAAAGAACAGTGTGACGTCATTGACGATTTCTTTCTTGCTAAGCACGCGGCTGGAATGGTTCGTGAGAGTAAATCTCCCCATTCAACACCGACGTTTTGTGTCAAGAAGCCAAATGGCAAGTGGCGCATTGTGCATGCTTATAGTAAGCTTAATGCAGCAACTATACCGGCGCGGACGCCTATTCCTAGAAAAGCATGTTCTTCAGAACAATATGGTAGGATGTACATCGTACAGCGCACTCGAATTAGTCGACGGTTATTACCAGCTCATCATGCAAGCGAGTGATATTCCTCTAATAGCGCCGAGCAGTATGCTCTGGGAGTGGCTCGTTATGCCTCAAGGGATGTCTAACACCCCGGCTACTTTTAATCGTGTAATGACGCGACTGTTCAGACCTCATCTAGGCTGCGCACAGACGCACTTTGACGACATCTTTGTCCATAGTCGTGCAACGAATGGTTGACCAGATGTGGATAACTACATTGGTCATTACGAGCGGTGCTCGAGTGCATGCGCACAAATAAATTGTACGCTAACTCGTCTAAGTGTATCTTTGGTGCAGAAGAAATTACCTTTCTAGGGTGCTTCGTTGGGAAGCGAGGCCTTCGAGCGGACCCCGCTAAGTTAAGGGCCATAGTCGATTGGCCGGCTCCTAAGAACCAAAAGGACTTACGTAAGTGGCTTTGCCTTGCCAATTACCTACATAATTATAGTGCAAATAGCGCACACATGGCTAGGCCTTTATCGAATCTCCTTAAAAGGATGTGGATTGGTGTTAGGGTAACACCGAGCACGATCCTTTTTAAACGGTTAAGGAGAATCTCCTTCATGCGCCAATATTGGCTTTGCCCGACCCTGATTGGCCCTTCAGTGTCGTCTGTGATGCATCTGACTTTGCTATTAGCTGTGCTCTGTTACAAACAAATGTTGATGGACGTGAGCGCGTCACTTCGTTTGAGTATCGCCGGCTGAAAGCTGCTGAAAAGAACTATTCATTTCATGACAAAGAACTACTTGCTATGAAGTATGCTCTAGTCAGATTCAGAGTACACCTGCTTGGATCAAAGCCTTTTGTGACTATACAGATCATAAGTCATTGCGCACTGCACCACAGTCGCCGCATCTCTCTCAGATAATGTCTCGCTGGCTTTCCTTCTTTGCCGAATATAATCTCGAGGTGAGATACAAGCTAGGATAGCAAAATGCCTTGGCTGATACGCTCTCGGGCCTACCTGACTATGAGCTTGCTCATTTTACGACACTGTCGTCATGATTCCCTGACTTAAAATTGTGCAATCCTGTCGTCATCAGTCCCTGGCTTAATCCTTGCGGCTTATGCCAAGGATGAACAATGAGTAGGTTTGATACGGGCTCTTGGGAGCGATGAGTTTTAAGACTCGGACATAGAATTGTCGACACGTTTACGCGCGAGGCTACATCTATATTCCATTGATAATGGCCTGTTGTGCTATCGCACGGATATTAAGGATATCCCTCGTATTGCTGTCCCTTATGATGAGGAGTTGAAGCACTGAACCCTCTATGAGGCACATGATACTGCTTT